TCTTGAACATCAGTGTAGCAGTCTGATGGCAGCAATACAGTCTTGTGCTTCCCTTAAGATAAGTTGAGGTGAAAGGACAGTGGCAGCTTCACAATCTATCCACATTCTAAGCTAACACGTTCTTTTCTCATTCTAAACTAACACGTTTTTATAAGATACAACACCTGCGAATCGTTTCAGCTTGGGAGCCGTGCCAAAAGATGCAGGGTGGGAAAAACAGTCTCCTGCCAGCTGTCTCCTCACAATACAGCCATTCTGGGGCCGTTTTCCATACTCGGGGCCATTATTGCTCTGGGCTGTTACAGCTGCAGCCACTGCCTCTGAATGGTTGCCATGGGGAGCGAGCCATATTCTCCTGCATTTCCTTGGAAGGAGCCCAGGGGAGCCTGTTTCAGATCTTAGCAGAGAGGGGCTGTTCATGTGCAGCTCCCCTCTGCTGGATCATACTCAGTATCTCCGCCCGCTGTTTTTGGCTGGAGTGGCAAAGTAGACGCTCTTCTCTGGCTGTCTGCAGCCATGACCAGCCCTTTCAGGCTGAGTGTGGTGGTAGGCAGGCGGCACTGACTGCTTCAGCCTACTTTTGAGCATCATCAGAGCTCTCCGTTTCTGCCCCACCTCAGCAGCACTGCCATAGTGGGAGCAATCTCAGTGCTCCCACAATGTCCCCTGGGGTACTTGTGGGAAGACCAGTGCGGAGGTGCCCCAGGACCCCTGCCCTGGGCTGCTGGGTATCTTGCAGGCTCTGGGGCAACCGAGTGATCCTGCTCTTGGCAAGGATGTGAGCTGATGGATACAGTTAATCACAGAAGATTTCTATTGTATGAACTATAATACTACATTTCATTTATATCCCACCTTTTCTGTTTCATCAGCACCCCAGGGTATCTTATAGAGCCATCCTCCTCATTTTATCCTCACAACAACCCTGTGAGGTAGGTGATGCTGATCCGATTTTGCCTGTGAGCTTCATTGCCAGGAGGGAACTAGAACCCTGGGATCTTCTGGATCCCAGTCTGAGTTGGCAGTCATGTCACACTGGCTCTCACTATCATGGAATAACCAGGTATTTTCATGGTTTGCATCAGAAAACTTGTCATTTACAATTCTCATCATTTTGCTTTTTAGGGGATTTCTTTGGATGCTTTTGAATAATGGGAATTAGCTCCTTCCTGGTTTTCTGTTTTCCTTGCTTTTTAAACAATGAAATGTGCTCCCTTAATGGGAATGATTTTTAACAGCTGCAAAACTAAGGCCCATAACCAAATAGTGCAATAGCAGCTAATCGAGCTCCTCTATAAAATGAAAAGCAAAAGCGCATTCCAAGGGGTAGCTAAGTTAGTTTGCTGCAGCAGAACAAACACAGAGACCTGATTTGTACATAATGACAGTCCATTCTTTTAAAATGCAATGGATGTCATGCATGAGCTGGAATGAGTAGACAGGATGACAGCCGTGCATCCTGTTCGTTCCCTTTTACTACACAACCCACAATTTGTTCCTGTGCATGTTGCAGGACGTGCCAGGCAAACCTGGATCCAGAGATCCACCTAACAGCAAATCATGGGTAGGTTAATCCCCAAACAGCCCTGCAGTACAGGCTTGTGCGGCATGTTCTTCTAACTGCAAAGGAGCTAACTGGGGCTGAGTAGTAAAAGGGGAAGAGGCAGGAATGCGGCAGGGAGGGTACGCTTTGGTTTTTAAATTGATGGGATTACTGTTACATGCAAACAGAGCTAGAATCTCATGGCCTCTGAAAGACTCCTGAAGGTGTTCTGGTTGCTGTTTTTGTGGATTAGAGGCCACTCCATCAGAAGTGTGAAGCTTAGTTACAAACATGGACATGGGGCAGGAGGCAGCTTTCTAAAAAGCAAGGATTGAGGGAAATTACAGATATACAGAAATTAGTATAGAGTTATTTACTTTATTAACCTTGGCCATTCATGAAAGAATTATTCAGTGATCATGGATACATCCTTACATAAGAGAGCTGACTAACATATATTTTTTAAAACTTTGTCCAAGTTCAAGCAACTTGAGATGGAAGTGATGAATCTTAGTTCAGTAGTTTCGCACTGATTTTTTTTTTTTAAATCTTGTTCAAGAATGGTCACTTTACTTTCAGTTCCAATGTCCTGGGAAGCTGAAATGTGTCCCCTCGAGCCCTCCCCCCCTTTCAAATATCACAGACTGTATGTTTATTCTTTTGCACAGAAGTTGAGCCATTTGTCCTAAGTACAATGCAGAAGAGCATTGTTGGCAAATGATGGCATACATAACTTAGGAGTCTGAGTGGATGTACGAGCCCGATTTAGTAGGTGGCATTATGATGTCCTGTAGTAATGAGTAGACATGGGGACGAAGTTGGCTTCTGAGCCTGCCACAAGGTCTGGTGCTCGCGTTTGTATGGTCTTGCATGGTCTGTTGCAGAGAGGCGGAAGGATCACTGTTTCGGGTGGGCTGTAGAGAACTGATGAGCTGCTTCAGTGCTTTTGGCGGGCAAGTAGAAGTGCCAGCAAATCATGCCTTGTTGTTTCTCTTGGGTCTACCCTGCAATGTATCATTCTGAAGTAGTATTGGTATGGCCCAGTTAATCTTTCTCCTGTGCTTCATTGAGCAGATATTGTAGTTTGAGCAATGGCAGACATAAGTCCTTAAGTTATGAGTTTTTGTCTGAGGAATCTGAACAGATATCATAGGGCTTAGCAGTAGACCACAGATCTGGTGGAGTGTTCTGGGTTAATGCTGGAAGCCTGTAAGTGTATTTAGAAATCAGCAGGCTTCAGATATTGTGTGCCCAAGCTACTGTGTCCAGCAGGATCATGTTGTGGACGTTATTATGCAACTACACAACGGACCTGCAAGTAGTACCTCATATTGGAAACCTACTGATTGCTAAGCACACCTCCTTGGTAGCAGACTGAGCTTCAGCATTCAAGTAATTAAACTCCAAGAGGATCACAGCCTTCCACTGCAGAGTGGGAGGGCTGGTAGAGGTGATCTTTGCCTCCCCAGCCTCCTGCCCTGCATTTTCTACTAGATTTGGCTGCCTAGCTGAACTGTCTCAGAGGGGGACAGATGGTGCCAGAGAGGGTTCTGGATACCTTGCATCCTTGCCTCTGTCCCCCTGAAATGCCCTCTTTCCCCCCAACTCTTTGTGGTTACACTCCCAGAGGGCAACCAGTGCGGTTCTCAGTGTGTCGACTACAAGGGATTAGGGGAACTAAGGTTGGCACTCGGATTTCCTACTTCAAGCCAGGGGCACTCTTTCTGACCATGGATCTGGAAATATGAAATATCCTTTGGCCTCCCGGACACTGTCTAGGGTCCGTAGGGTTGTTACAGAATTATTTTGGGACAAAGTGTGATAGGTGTTCCCCTTCATAACCTTCTCCTAAGGAAGGGTTGCTGTACAAGAACAGAGGCTTCAGTGGGGCTTGGGCAGGGTAATTTTTTAGTGGATTGTGCCTCTGACATTTAGTTTTTTCAGTCTGTACTAGAGAGGAGTGATCACAATGCACACTGTCTGGAGAGGAAGAGTATCTATTGCTAAGCAGAGATTTGATCCCAGTCCTTAGTTTTTGTTAAACTGTTTGGTTTTCTCCTTCCCTGCAATAAGTTGAATGTTAAAAAGACATATTCAGTTGACTGTTTCTGATGAGGTACTTCATTCCACTGCTGTAGGGAAAGTTGTTTGTTCTTAAGCAATGCTCTTTGCTTTTCTGCCCCATTGTAGCTCCATGTGCTGGTTTGAATTAAATGGCAATTCCTTGGTCTTTGCATCTTTCCACCTGTGTATGCTGTGTTTTGTTTAGCCCTACTGAAAAAAAGTTGTTCTGCTGGTTGTAAGACCGCATGGTAGCAGCTTTGGGGTGTGGTCAAGTCCAGTGCCAAGTTTGTGTTCCGCGACAGCTCATCTTGCTTCAAACCACTTTCCTCCCATGATGTAGCCTGAGGTAGGGGTGGGTTGCACCTGTGGGCGGAACAGGAAGATGCATTTCAGCAGGCACGCTGCTGAACTCAGAGGTTGCTGTGTGATCACTGGGAAGGTATTGGAAGGGGAAGCCTTGACAAGGAGGCTCGCATTCAACCTAGAGCTGCAGACATTTGATTTGAACTCACTTGCCTCCAACCCTCTGCAAGAGCAGCCTCTCTGAAACTGTCTGGCTTTCTCAATCCAGTGTCCAGATATTAAGCAAAAGGGACACGTTTCCTGAATGGCAGTGGATGATCTCCCCAGTGACTGATCTACCTGTCAGTGGTGGGGCTTGAGAGGAATGCCCTTCAGAAGGTGGGGAAAGGATGGCATCTGGGGAGAATAAGGCAGGCAATCCTTTGCCATGGCAAGAGATAGAGCTTACTTATCTGTTGTCCATTCCTTTTTGGACCTCGATGCTGAAGAACTCTGCTTCCACTATTTTTTTCCGGGTGAATGCAAGATAGATCACCAGCTCTGCCATCCAAAGGACATTCTGCTGCAGTAGGTTTTTAATCTATTTGCTTATTTTCTATCCTGTCCTTTCATTCAAGGAAGCAAAGGCAGTGCACATGGTCCTTTCCTTCTCCTCAATATAACCACCCTGTGAAGTAGTTCAGGAAGAAAGGCTGTCAGTGTGTGAAGAACGTCGCGACAACTTTTTAGTAATTTTCTCTACATGATGACTCAACTTTAGGGAATGTTAGAACAAATTTAGCTCACAAAAGACTTCAGGCTTGAGATGAACTTTTTTTTTTTAAATTGGAAACTTGAGATCCACCAAATGGAAACCTGTTCTGAGCCCTGGACTGTTTGCGTATGAAAACTGAACAGAGGCTAGGATCCTTCTATGCAAAACTTCACTCCTACTGTACACTTAATTTCAGCACTAGAATTTGGAGCGAGGGGAAATCACTTTGCCGTCACCATCACACCGAGCACTGCCCAGTTGGGACAGAGGAATACTTCGTACTCCTGGAGGCGAGGGGAGGAGATCAGCTTCACCAGCAATGCCTGTGCCGCCCTGTTGAGCACTTCCTCTTTGCATAGTGCAGACTGCCCGGGGGAGCCTCCGCCTAAGCAACGCGGAGAGGGTGGGCTCAGCCGGGCTCCGATCTGGCGCCTTCCCTGACTGCCGATGCAACGGCGATCTTCTCCTGAAGCGCAAGCTGGGAAAGCAGACCACGCAGGAGTGCAGAGAAGAAATGGGGTAAGTAGGAGCCGGCAGGGCTTGGTGTGATTGCCGCAGCGCGAACCCGCGGGGATGCGTTCCCGATCCGCGCCGGGGCGCCTTCGACGTCTCTTGGCGGAGCATGAGGAGCGCCGCTTGACGGGGCGAAGTGCCGCCGGCCACTTCTCGGCCTGGCGGCTTTGGAGAGTTGCCACGGCGCAGCTCATGCGAGGGGTCCCGGGCGCCCAACCGCGCTTTCGCCAACCTTGAACAGAGTTGCAGGAGACTGTGAAGGAGGCGAAGCATAGCTGGAGGCCAATTCGCTCCCGCTCTTTCTTGGAGGGCTCGGAGTTTGCATTTGAACTGATGAGCGGAGGGGACGGTGCTTAACCGTGTCCCAACTCGCCTTTTGTTCCAATCAATCCCCTCCATAAGAATTGTATATACATATATTGGGGCTGTATAAAAGACAGAAGGACTTCTTGGCAGAGGGCTTGTAACCTGTTGCATAACATTTTTTCCTAGTAAGAAAACAAGACAGAAAAAAGTAGTGGAAACCGTGGGAGGGCTCTTAATGTCTCTCACTCCCTAATTAATTCCAAGGATGAGGCAGATAGATCCCTTAATAAAAGCTTAAAATAATAAATAATCCGGAAGCGCTCAGGGAGAGCGAGTTTGGCTTTGGACTCCCTCTGATTTCCTTCTGCTCTCCCCCCACAATTAATGGAATGGCACAGGGCATCTGGACCAGAGGCCTGTCTATCCGCCTCCATGTTTTCCTGTAGCAGCTTCTCTCCGCCTTCTTACCACAGAAAATCCACTGAGGAGGGGGGAATTGTACAGTGCTTTCTGATCCTCTGTCCAAGGTTTTTTTTCCCCTCCCTTAATGAAAGGGAAGACTGGGAAAGTGAAGGTGCTCTACCTTTAGGAGTGCTTCCACTTGGATGCAGACTCAATTACATTTGGTAGAGGAAAACTGGGATGGAGCCAAAGGCTTCAATGGGAAAGGTAGGTTCTGATTCTGTGCGTTTCAGAGTGAGGTTGACAGGGCTCAATTAAATAATCAAATGGGTGCTCGTTTGCATTATTAAACACAGGAATGTATAAGCACCTTGGACAAGGAACTGAGGCTTGCTTGCTTCTGCTACTCCCTTGCCAGCTGGAGTCTATTCTCTTGGGCTCTCTTTGGCTTCCAACCTTTATTTTATGTAAGGAGCTTCCACATCAGGTTCTACACATTTCTATTGTAGGCTTTCCATCCCTCCTACATGTGTACACTTCTTAGTGCATGTATTAGAGCAGGGCCTGGCAGGTTAATCCTCTTATACTGTAGACCCCAGACTTGTACTACTTTCTTTCCTGGTTCTGAGGATCCTCAAAATGGAGCTGATGGGTTGGCAAGAGCCGCCATTAATCTTGTGTCTAGATCCACAGCATACAATGAAAAAGTCTTCCCGCATTTTCCTTAGCAGAATGGAAATGGAGGGGACCTATTCCTTTGAATTGTGCAAAAAAAGAGGCATGTTTTCCCCTGAGGTTCTCTGGGAGGGGTGAAGAGATTGGTTTTGCTTCATGAAAACATGCAGCAGTGGCAAGCACTGAATGCCTTTTTCAAAGCCCAGATTATAGCAAGAGGTTCTTCAAACCTCTGGCTAGACCAAGTCCTCAGGAGGGTGAAGGTTCATTGTGGACCTCTGCCAGGACCTGCTTGTAGATTGAGAGGATTTAGAGGGGAATGGCCACGTCGGCACTTGCAAGGCGGGAACCTGCATGAGAAAGGCGGCTAAAGCAAGTGCAAGTACTGGTATTACCGCAGGTGTTGGTTCCGAAGGTACCTGAGGAAGAGAGGATACAAGGCAGACGGTTTCCACCCAAGGCCCATTCATATGCCAGAACTGACCTGTTTAAAAAAAAAAATGACAGCCCACCATGGGTTAATTAACCCTCTGGGTGCCACACATGTCATCTGCCATTACGAATATGCAAGCTCCAGCTCAGGATTCTGCTGCTTGTCATGTCATCAGATAACCTATGTTCTGATGTGGGGATACATGAGGGTTGCTTAACCCTCAAATAAGCCTTCCCCCTGCACACGCACACACGCATGCGCACCCCCCCCCCCCTGGTTTTTTGTGATATGACAAGCCCCGGCTTGGGCTTCCATATCCACAATGGCGGCCAGGACACATTGCAACCCTGGCACAGTAAGCCACAATGGGTTGTCTTTATGTCTGGCCCATTTTGCATGATGATGCTGGGAGAAATGGACCAAAGGTCTGAGAACGGGAGCTTCCAATGCTCCTAGAATCTAGCTTTCCAAAACACTGTGGGAATGTATGCTTCTTTCACTGGAAGAATTCAAGCCTGTACTAAACAGCACTATTTGTGGACTGTGTAAAAATACTTGGTGTTGCCTATGCCATCTCTGTCAAATTTTAGTCCCTTATTCTAATTCCTCACAAAACCGAGTTATCGGTTTTGCTATTGGCCATGCATGGCTTTTTCTGCCATATTAAACATTCAGGAAATAAGTGGCACCATGAAGCAGCCTTCCACACTCCATGGCAACTCCTGCTCAGAAGAAAGTAAACTGCTTAAAAAGAAAAAAACACCAGAAAAGCTAAGAGACAACCTTTTGAGGGAGTGTTAGGAATTTGACCTGCTTCTAGCCACATCTCTGTCTTCCCAAGGCAGTGTCAGTTATCAGAAATGTTACTCAATGAAGAAAACTTGTTCCGTACTTGATCCTTTGGGGTGGACTGAGCTACAAAGTGAAAATATACTTGTACGTCTCAACTAGAGCAATGCATCACAGCTGGGCGTGCTCTCGCAAGTTGCCAGCCCAGCCCACTCTTTTCCTGAGCCTCAGAAAAAGACCAGGACGGCCTGGTGGTCCTGCGAGAGTTTGGTGCAATTGTGCCCATGCCGTCACTGGGATCTGGACTGAGAAAGGGTGCCAAGCTGCAAGAAGGGCACAGAATTCAGGGTTGCATGCAGCCTGCGTTTTGGACCACCCTGCTCTGGCAGGTCTGGCCCAGAGCTTTAAGTTGCACAGAATGGAGCTTCAGGGTTGCATGCAGCCTGCGTTTTATTTATTTATTTAAAACATTTCTATGCTGCCCCCATCGCAACAGAGCCTCGGGGCGGCTCACAAAAAATACAGAAAAACATACATAAACAATAACAATATAACAATTTAAAAGAAGAAAAAACATTTAAAACCCCTGGTGCATTCTCGGCTAATTTTAAAATCCTAATAAATACAATAATTTAGCAATTAAAATAAGTTTTAAATAAAAAGGTCTTAGCCTGGTGCTGAAAAACAAATAATGACGGCGCCAGGTGGACCCCTCTGGGGAGCGCATTCCATAGATGGAGCGCCACCGCAGAGAAAGCCCTCCTCCGGGTACTCACCCTGCCCTGGCAAGTCTGGCCTAGAGCTTTGAGTTGACACAAGTTGTTCTCAAATGCAATAGTGCTATCCTTTCCTTGCCAATATCCTGACAGATAATGAACTAGGCCTTTGCATCTTGAAAAAATCCTTGGACTGCTACATATGATACCTCAACAACCAGGTTGTTGCCCCAGGATCAAAGTTTTTCCTTTGCACAAGCTGCTCTGAAGCATGAGGTCGTTGACAGAACAATTGCCCACAGACTTATGAGAGGATATACAATTTGGCAGTTGCACGTTGAACTGCAGGAGTGGCTTGGTTTATTTAGGCTGGCCCATCCCGTGGGTACATAACAACGCCCCACCCTTTCAAAGCTGAGCAGAATAGAATGTAACCAAATCCCCTGGATCCTGTGAGGCTGTAGCCAACCCAAACAAGCAGGTTCTGCAGTCTTTCAGAAGGTGTGGAGGTGTCAACATGGGGCAAACCATGGTTCTGGAAAACCTCGGTTTACCACCGAACCATTGAAATGAGCTTCTAGGATTGGTTTGGTGGCAAGCTATGATTTGCCTGAGGGCATGACCAGGGAGAAGAGGGGCCTTTGAGATAGTCAGTCATACAGGATAAGGCAGTAAAAAGCCTGTTTTCAAGATTTACTCCTGCTTCTACTGCTGTCTAGCATGGTGGTCTAGGTTGTCATACTGTTTATTTTTCAAATGAATATGCTGCTTCACATAGAAGAAGCAGAACGTAAAATGCAATTGGATCAAAGCAACTACTTAACAATAGAAACAATGCAATACAAATTAGCAATGAAACTTATATGTGCTACAAGCCATCACTGGCTGGGTCCTATCAGGGTAGCTATTATAAAAAGAGGTGTTTAAGAAGGCATCAAGGGATGCAATCCTATGCGAGTTTAGACATTGGAAGTTTTCCTCCTCGTCTGAACTTCTATAGGATTGTGCTCAAATGTCAGAACTGTAGGAGCCTGTCCCCTATTGATTGGCAGAGTGCCCCAAGGGATGTGGGCTGCAACACTGAATCCTCTGGTACAAGTTGCTTCTGAGGTGATCTTTTAGAGGACCTGGCCTGCTCAGAGGGGCTCCCTCTGATGATTGCAGTGGCAGAAGAGGTAAGGTCCCCCGGCCCCACGTTCTTCCCAGGGAGCCATGCTTGGTCCCAACACTGTTGCCTTTTTGGTGCCAGGATGCGCCTATCCTCCCAGGCACTTGATAGCATGAGATGGGGCATGTTTGAACAGGTCAGATCTTAACTGAAGCAGCTTTAGTCATTTAAACCATTTTATATTTTATATATTGGGAAGTTATTATTGCATTTATACTGTTATTATCTATTTTGATTATTGTATTTGTGTTCATGAATTGCTATGAACCATTCAGAGTGATTTAGATATTGATACATACATAATACATAATAGCCTATGAATGCGAGTTGCCTAATTCCAGTCCTTGTGTAGTTCAGGTTTTTGTTTAAAAGAAGCAGTGAGCCATCAGAGTTCCTTGGCAAAAAGAAAATCAATTATTATAAATTACATACATGGGAAGCAGGTGTTGGTATGCACTATATTCTATAAGAAAATCAAGAAAGCTAGTCTAGTTTCCCCCTCTTGTAAATATTTTGT